CCAACAAATCTCACCTAGCTCTACAAAATCCTCATCCTCACAAAACAGCACCGGTCAATCATCTCAACAAAACGCTATTACTCTTTCACGTATGTTGCATAGAATCCAAGCAGACATTGCTGTCAAAGAGCAACTTGTCGCGCAATTGGAACGCGCCGAACAAGAATTCACATTCATGCGAGCCCAATATGAACAACAATTGGCTCAAATGCAAGAAAATTTGATTAATATGCAACGTGAAAGAAATTCAGCTGTAAAACGTACACAAAATTCAAGTACTGGCGTAAGCACTCGTGACAAGAGTTCGATACTTGCTGAACTTAAAGCTCGCTATGAACATAAGATGAAACGTTTGATTCAAGAAATTGGTGATCTTCGCCGTAAATATAACGAAGCAACCCAAAAAAGTAATGTCGAGAAGAATCAAAACGAAACAATGCTTAGAAGCATGAGATCTCAAGTCGAACATCTTAAAAATGAAAAATTGAGATTGATCAAACGTATGAAGTCTGAGACCGAAAAGATTCGTGAAATGACTGAACGTAACGAACGTGAAGTTCAAAGCCTACGTCGTAAAGAAAAGGCTGCACAAGAACAAAGAAAACGACTTGAGAAATCAAACGAAATGCAAAAACTTATGCTTGAAAAACGTCAAAAGGAAGTTTTATTAACAACTGGTAAACTTAAATCAGTAATGACCTTACTCAAACGTACTTCAACACCAAAATCCATTGCAAAAGCGTTCCGTAATACCAAACGTGGTAAAATAACTAGTGGCAGCGCTGGTAATAATGGCAATGATGAAGAAGTTAAAGTTAGTAGTGATACTGCGAGAAGAACTTCGGATGATTTGGTTTTAATTGAAGAAGAAGTATTTGCAAGTGGTAAAGAGAAGAAGAAACAACTTGATGAAGCAATCTACAAGTATATTACTGGTCGTCAATCATTGGCGTTGATGGATGAATTGATTCAGAAGCGTGATGCATTAGTTGCTGAGAAACATGTGTTACTTTGTGAACGTGAAAAAACCATTACTGCTGAGAACTCTGATAATAACAGTGATAATGGCAATAACCAAGATTTGGATGATAGGATTGAAGTGATAAATTCGGAAGTTACTTATATGAATGCTAGAATTCGTGCATTACAATCTGAAGCTGCAAGAACTGCAGCAGCAGGAACGGAAAAACAAAGAAGAAGATCCTCAGTGGAAAAAGTCAATAATGATGATAAATCACCTAATCAGACCTAAATTTGTACTAGTTACACGACTAAAACATGGATAACAAGAACCAATTAAAATCATGTAGATCGTTATAGAATTAATATATTTTTCCGCAAAATCATCGCGATCTCCAATTTAGTTTCTAAATGTGCATAACCAATAAAAATTTTAAAATATATTGCAACAGAAAAAAATTACACGATTATGGGGACGATTACATATATTATGCTGGTGAAATTCCAAGAGCAAAGAAAAGAATCCGATGTGGAATTGTTTCGGATAATTTTTTATTTTTACCCTCCCTCATCTTTATCCTTCTCGCTTTCTGATTCACGCACGTGCAATTATATCTACGTGATGATTGCAAAAGAATGATTGATGTTCACGTGTATGTTTATATTTTTCTAGATTAAAATCTTTAGGCAAACAATCACCTTAATTATTTTATTGACCTAGTTGTAATCATCACATTTTTTATTTATCGTTACAACAACTTGCTTAATTAGGATTCATTGTTTTTCCCAAAGAAATTTTTTTTTCTCTATAGCCGACAACGCACATCATATCATGTCACAGAAAAAATTTTAAATAATGTAAATATTGTTTTAAAACTTTTTGGGTTAATGTTAAATAAAAAGTTCAATGTTTCATTGTCATTATTACTTGTTTATTCCTTTTTCTTTTTATCTTAAAGGGGGTGGGTGATTTTAATTAATATTAATTAACTGTTAATATGAAAGAAAAAAAATTAATATTATTCAATTTGTACAACAAAGATTTTTTTTTTTGGAACTCTCAAATTCCAAATTCTCAAATAAATAAAAATGAGAATAAGAAAAAAGGTTACATTATAAAAAAAGAATTATGGCGACTAGTCCATTATAATAATATTTACATCACGTGTTGTCGAATTTTTACACACGTCAAAAAAAAAATTAAACACGTAGAAAAACAATCAACACTTAATATTTGTCATTGTTCTCGGATTTTTTTTTCTTTAAAAAAAAGCGTGTTTTTATTATATATTTTTTTTTTAATTTAAATTTTAATAATCAAATTTTAGAGTTTTTTTGTTTTTTTTTGTTTTAATAAAGTAGGAATTAAAAAGCATAATTTTTTTTAAAAAAAAGTAGAAATTAAATAAGTTTTTTTTTTTTTTTTAAATAACCAAAAAAATAAAAAATATGAAAGAAAATTTACAATTAAAATTTTTTTTTTATATTACAAAATATTTTTAAAAATAAAAATTTCTTATAAAAAAATCTATTTATAAATAAAGAAGGGAAAAGTAATATTTATATTTATATATATATATATATTATGTCTATATACACACAATCTTCTATTAAAAATAATTATTAAAATTATAATAATTAAAAATTATTAATTAAGTATTATTGTAGTTAAATTATATAGTTCTTATTAAATAAATTAAATAAATTTTTTTTAATCGATAGTCGTTGTTGTGGCTGTTGATTTATTTTTACCTTCTAATGCTGCTAACGCACTGTCAACTCCTCCACTATTTTGTTTTATATGTGATTTACTAAAACTACCCCTTCGTTGTTCACTAAAACTATCTCTTCGTTGTTCACTAAAACTGCCTCTTCGTTCACTATTGTTAAAGTCCTTCATTGCTTTTTTTGTTGGTGTGTTTTTGGCAGAACTTGAATGTGTATGACTTCTTGATAATCTATCATATACATTAACACATGGTGGTGTTTCTGATCTTGTGTGTGTATGATGTTGTACTATTGATCCTCTACGTTCACCATTTCCTGCCATGATGCCTGCTACTTCTTCACTTTCAGGTGAACTTCTACCAAATGAGTTTTGAGAAAGATGTGAAACATCTTTGGATCCTCGTCGTACCATTGCCATACTGCTTTGTGATCTTCTCTTAACATCCATAACGACTCCTCCGAAATATCCACTATCACGATGTTGTGTATTTTCTTCGTTATTATCGTTAGCAGCCCCAGTGGTGGTACTGTTGTTGTTATTTTCAGTATAGAATCCCATACTTGTTGAACTATTTTGTCGACTTACTGAAGTTGTTGTTGGTGTGCTTGGTGGTAAACTAATATCATCATTAGATGATTTATTGCTATCATTAGTATATCTCTTTAATCTTTTACCATTTGAATTTCTTCTGCTCATACTATTACTACCAGAAAGACTACTTGTACTATTCTCTCTTTGTAATGAAGAAGGAGTTGCAGTGGTTTGCCTTGTTTCTATTATATTACCATTACTGCTGTCTTTAGTACCGGTTGAATCAATTGATGATTTTCTTCCAGTCTCAGAATTCTTTAGCCAGCTTGGTGGTAATTGTGAACGTGAATGTTTTCTGGTCATGATTTTTGGTGCCTCCTCAG